CGAAGGCTGATCCCCATTACGAGGGGTAACGCAGAACGTTGCGAAGCCATTCGGGTATACAGGCTTACTATCACCCACACCGAACACCGGAACGTTAGAATATTTACGCGCCAAATTTAAACGCTGCGCGCAAGCCTCTGTGATAAATGTCGCCTGACTACCACTATCTACAATACATCGAACGATGTGTTTAATACGCGGAGTCACACATACATGGATGAGCGCTGTGGCTAACAAAACTGTATCCCGAACACACGATGCAGTAGACTGTGTGTGATTCACCGCGGTCATGACGTGTTGAGCGGCTACGTCAGATTGAGATGAATCGTTGCGCGAGAGAGATGCAGAACTACTTTCTGTCATACCACTATTTACTGTAACCGACAAACGATGAGAATCAAAATGAAGCAAAGTGTGATGTCTTTTTTGACACGAGCGACACACAAAATTGGACTTGCATTGTTTCACATCATGACCGACATTTAAACAATTAAAACAAACGTTTTTATTTTGAATGAAAGAATATCTATCACGCGGAGATAAATTTAGAAATTTGCTGCATTTATTTAACGTATGCTGAGCCTCACAACATAAACATATATTGTTCTTCGTGTTTTTATTTCTTAAGGGAACGTCATGAATGACGCTAGCGGCAAATGAACGTCGCGTACCTAAGGTGGCTTCGCTTGACTTAGAAACAACACGCGATGCATTTTGCGGTAATGTTCGAGAACTACCCCCATGTGCGACCATTTTATCATTTGTATTTAAACTAACCGAATTTGAGTTTGAAAACTGGCATGCAGATAACTCACGTTCTAAGAAGTTTATTAACGTGTCAATGTCTGGAATATCGCATGGTTTTATTAGAGATAACTCGAACCTCTTACGTATTGAGGGTGGTATTTTACGCAGTAGAATGTTCAATAATAAAAAACTCCATTGTTTCGTAGGCAATGGCATAACTTCCAACGCTTTTATATTTTCTTGATATACGTTCAGTAAATTACGCAAAGTAAGAATGTTTCTTTCGGAACAAGGTTCGATATCGAGTATTTTGTCGATATGTTTCACTGCGATCACCCGTTTATTATCATACCGTGAAATTAAAATGTTCAAAGCCACAAAGTAATTGTCCTCAGTTATCGGTAGTGACTTTATTAAATTATACGGCTCATTATTTAAAGTTAATAGTAAGTAACGGAATTTCTCCGTGTTGGTGAAGGCATCACTGTCGTGCACTAACGAACGAAATAAATCATAAAACGGGGGCCACTCGGTAGGTTCCCCGTTGAAACACGGCATAGGCAAAGTGGGTAGTTTGGTTGCGCAACCACCGCTATGAGCATTGAACGAAGAATTTAAAATTGAAGGTCGACTCATTCGTCTACTCTCTTCATCTGATTTTTTCAAACTATTCATATGAGCAATTATGGCGTAGTAACAATCATTAAAATCACCACGAATTTTAAGCTGTTCATCTTTATCGAAACATTTTGATTTTATAAGAACTTTTTCAATTTTTGATTGTAATTTTGAGAATTTTCTGTGTTGAGAAGTTAAGTCTATAACACGAGATCTAAATTGTTGTTCATTAATTTGAGCAACTTGTAATGTACGTTTGATATCGTCAAGAATTATTTCGCGTTCAAACAAATCTTGTTCGATATCCGCCATGATGGCTACGGAGCAGCGCGAGTTAATGGCGGTTATCGTGAATTTTATTTTATTACAAATTAAAAATGAATACTAACTCAAGACAACACAAGGTCACGCTAAGCAATTCGGTTCGAATGGACCAAAAAAATATGTACAGTAAGGAACGAAATATGTCTGAAGACTTACCGGTTCACCTTCCTTCCACTGCCTCGCGCTCCCTGGGCTCAGCGTCGTTTCCGGAGGTGGGACCGTCTGTCCCTTGACTGGTACACGATGAACAATTGTCGCTGGTTCTAATGGTTACGCGTGACTTGCGTTGGATAATCTTTGTTGTTTGTAATAAAGAATGTCTGTCGCGGAACGCGTGTGTTAAGTTACTATATGACGGCGATCTCAGCCCGTAGGCTGGGAGGGGTTGCTCAGCAAGCTTCTGGTTGGCTAGCCGGCCGTCTACAGGCGAGATCGAACCTTACTGTACCTAGGTTAAGATTTGTGTTGTCTTGAAGATGTATTGCCTAATACTCGATATTAATAAAAATACAGAAACACGAAAAATCTGTTTCAGTACGAAACAATGTCAAATCTATAGATTTGGGCTACAGCGCATTGAATAGGTTGGGGAAAAAGTTTCTTCGCATTTTAAAAAAAATTCACAACATTTATAATACAGTTTATTTACATTTAACTAAAGTATGTAGGTACAATTTTGTTCGATAACTTTTTGCCATCTTGTAGGTAGGGTCATGATCCCATTGCTATTAAAATTTTGGGGCTTCTGATCAAAATATCGCGACAATTGGTTTTGGCAGTCCTCTCGGGATGTTAATCTGACACTGCCTAAAAAATTCTGAAGAGACCGCAACAGATGGAAATCTGAATGTACAAGGCCAGGACTATACGGCGGAAGCATTAACACCTCTCAGCCAAGCTCTTTTAATTTTTGCTGAGTGGCTAAAGATGTGTGAGGTATAGCGTTATCATCTTCGATCAACAATAGTAACTAGATACACGGTCGGTGCAGAAAATCCGTCTCGTCAAATAACAGCTCACTTGAAATGTGAGCTGTTATTTTGTTTAGTTCACTTCAAACACAGCCAATGTCAACCCTTCTCACAATGCCGCAGTGTGTATTCAAAAGTTGCAAAAATAATGCCCGAAAAAGCAATTTAACGGCTGAAGTATCTTACTTTCGGTAAGTACATGAAGTATAAACTATATTTTAGGCTTTAAACTAATAAATAATATTAAATTTTGTACAAAATTACCGATTTTTAGCCACCGCTACAAATGTTGGCCAAGGCTCGGCCAACACATGGACAAACGTTTGTTTAACAGAACAGTAAACGCACGGAGTAGATTTGTGTTTTAATAATTTTTTAAAATTTGTTAGATGTACTTCAAAATTAGTTGGTTAAAATTGGTTAATGCTGCTTTTGTGTCTGTTTTTTGGATTCTCATTAGATACTTAGCTTTCCTTTTTTATTTTAGCTTTCCTAGCAATCACGTGTGCAGAATGGATCTCGATTGTCGCCAGAGAAACAAGAGATGACTTTTATAAGCCAGCTAAGATCTCCGCTCATTGACACTGGACATCTTTGTCTTCCGTGCTCACGGCTACTGAAACGTGGCCGAAACATTGTAATAAAAATACCGCGCTTGAAACCGTTTAAACGTTGTTTTATTATGTGCACTGGTTGCGAAAACTTAAAAATACACTATAAAAATATATATTACACAAAAACGCAACGCTAATAAAATAATAAATAATGTATAGATACTAACAAACATAAATTTCCAAAACATAAAAAGTAAACAACTAAACTTTTGCTTTTATTCATTAATAAATTATTTTAGTGTTCAACGCGACTCCCTTACCTCCTGTAGTAAACAGAAATCGAAATTTCAAGAAGCAAAAATAAATAAAACAAAACGATGTTAGTTCTCAGAGCAATAAAGGGAAAAAGTACTTTATTTGTTGTCACTTAAGGTTGATTTAACATTAAAAGTTGTTTAACATATGTTTTTTTATTTGTAAGTGACAGGATTAATTTATTACTTTGCTCATTTTATGTGACGAATGATCGTAAGTATTAGATAATGTTTTGGAGATTTGTGACTTTATTACAAAGTGCCATAGTTGTAATTAGTTTGAACTTAAAACTGTTTCAAAACTTTTTTCTCCGTTTGTTAGTAAACGAATGTAGCTATAGGTGTATATTCACGCGGACAGCTTTTGCTTTAATTTTGTACGTGTCCCTTTATCTAGTTACTATTGATGATCGAAGGTTATCATGATGATAAACTACACCCCTTCTGTTCATTAATTCCGGCCGCTTTTTGTCAATTTCTTGCTTTAATCTCATCAGTTGTTCGCAGTAGAGTTCAGAATCGATGGTCCTTCCTGGTTGTGACAGCTCATAATGAACAACAATGCCCTTCTAATCTCACACACACAGCATCCTTGTGCGAGTTAACCCGGGCTTCCCCACAGTCTGTGAAGCCTGACCGGCCTTTGATCACGATCTTTTTCGCACGTTCTTGTCGCACGTGATCCACTATTCATCACCAGTTATCAGCTTCTTTCAAAATGGTTCGGTTTCATTACGTCGTAATAAAGAATCACAAATGAGTACACGGTTCATTAGGTTTCTTTCAGTGAGCTCGTGAGGTACCCAAATATCGAGCTTTTTTGTATACCCAGTTTTTTTCAAATGCACCAAAACTGTTTTGTGGTCAATTCCCAGTTCTTCAGCTACGTCGTAACTACTGATAGGCCGAACTTGCTCTACTTTTTCAAAAATGGCATACATTTTATCCGTAATACGGCGACCAGAGCGCCGTGCATCTTTGACATCAAAATTTCCGGATTGAAGACGTTTAAACCAGATTTGTACTACTCTCACAGAAACTGCACTATTTAGTCTATTTAGTGTTTCTTTAGGTTTAATTGTATAATAACGGTGGTTTATTAACTATTTAATATCTGTGAAAGTGCACAAATGTGGGAAAATCAAACAAAGCCGCTGGACGTTACTTCTCGGGATCCTCCAAAAAGTCCACTGAAAAAATCTCAGTAAATGACCACCATTTTACTGAGATTATATTTCATCCCATATTATCTTATCTCATCTCAAAGTAATAATTTTCATTTCATTTCGCTCCATATTCTAATTTTTCACAAAAATAAAAATATAAATTAAAATAAGACATGACTTAAAAGTCTTAGTTACCAGGTCATAAAATCCCTAAAAAAAACATCTTTGACAGTTGACAACAAAGGCTCAAGTAATCTGTAAACTGACAGTGACAAACGTCAAACAATAGGTACCTATATAGGTAGGTATCACAATTTCGCAAACATAAATGCTAATTTCAATTTTCAAAAAGTCAAGTGAAGACATAAATACTGAATTAAACTGCGCGTAATCCCGAATAAAATGGCTTCTAGTTATTTCACTGAAAGCGAGGCTCCGAGAGATTTTAGAGTTTCTTCAACAGAGAGTGACGGGCAATACACAAAATGCCACCTGTGCTATACAGTAAAGAGGAACTTTTACTGCACGGACTGTATAAAAGAAGGAAATTTTGTACATAGTTCAATGCCTTATTCGGACAGGTAGGCATATGCGTGATTAATATCAATTAAATGCTAAATATATTTAAAAGTGTATATTTGTAAACAACTTGTTTGTTTGTGTGTGTAAGGTTTTTGTTTTCTCATCCCACCAATATGTCATTTGCAGCTTGCAGAGTAATTATGGTTTAGGTATGGTTTATGAATGTAATAGCTTTTTTTTTGCATACGCGGAAAAGATTATTTTAATTATCTCATCTGAAAATTTAATCATTCATTTTATAATAAAAAATAAGCCCTTATAAGGAGCCCTTCTTTAAAAACATATAGACTTATGGAACTGACTACAAAAACAAAAATTTCAGATATTCAGAAAAACTCTCAAAACTACTGAGATTAAAAATGAATCGCAAGCACATACTAGATCGCTGTGAGAGGCTCCTAGCCCCGAAGCTAAAAAAGGACTCCCTCCTGACAGAAGCAAAACAATGTAGAGACAAAATTGACCTACTGAAATTAGCAATAAATCAAAGACGCAGCAATGTAGATGAAAAGAAAAAAGAGTTAAGTGAGCTAAAAACTTACAATACAGAATTGCGTTTACGGCTTCCAAGATATCAGAAAAGGGTAGCAAGTCTGGGTACCCATTCAGAGAAACAGAAATTGGAATTGCAGCATAAAATTAATCTGTACAATGAACAGGCTGACTCGTTGGCTGCACTACGCAGGTCTTGGATACGCCAACTGACCACTTATATATTTCCTGTGTATATGAGTTATGATACAAGGTATGTATGAATGAACAAAATTTATTAGAAATAATGGATGCACAATAGAACTCAGTCTTTCCAACATAATCATTTTTATCCTCCTGAACTCTTACTGATGACATCTTTAAATAGTTCATCTAGTTAATTGTCCTAAAGGCTATTTCGACAATAAAAATCCTGGAATTGTTGGAACTTTGTAGTAAAGATACTAACACACTAAGAGTAAAATTAAATGTAATGTTTAGAACATTGAAATGCTAGGTGAATCTTTCTGCTACCTAGCTCTTACTTTAACAGGTGGTGGATGAACTTTAATGTGAAATGATAGTCTGCACTCAATCAAAACTTTTTTGCCATCAAAGGCAGATTGTTGACGGACATTAGAAATTCAATAAATAAGTTCTTGTTTTGAACCATATGTATAAATATATTTTTAGTGACAGCATAGAAGACTTGGAGTTTATAGGAGAAGACCTCCAAGAACCAGTGGGAAGAGCTCAACTACACATTGTTGCTCCAAGCATCAGCACCGATGGAGATTACTCGGATATAACCTTAGGTAAAATTTTATCTAAATACTAAATAGATAATATTATATAGTGTCAATCTCAGGCCTATGGAACCCAAGAAGGCTTAATGCTGTGCGGAGTCATGTGTGGGTCAGTCTCAAAGGAAAATCATATCACTCATAATTATTTATTGTATACGTGTCCGAGTGCCGTGCCGGACTCCGATGGACTGCCTCGACGTTGACATGAGCCGGCACACCACTCCCCCCTTATTAAAAAAACATTTGTACTGTTATATAACATTAAAAGAAAATTATACAAAAAATGAAAAAAAATTATAAAAATTAACATAACAGTAAACATACCAATAAAACAAAAACACAGACATCTATTAAAATTAAATCTAAAAATGGTTTGATTTGCTGCCGAAATGTCCACGAAACTTAAAAGGTAAAAATGCGTTTGCTATTTTCATAAAAATCGCCAGGTAGCCTTAAGGTCTGTCCATACGTTATTTCGGCGGCACTTACACTAGTATCGGTGCGCGGTGCTACTCGAAGTCCTAACAATACGATGGGTAATTCTTCGACCCAAGTCTTCGTGTCTAATCTAGCCATAAGAGCGGCTTTCAAAGATCTATGCCATCTCTCTACCATACC